TCATAGATAGCAAACATTTCGTAGCCCTAACTTAAAAACCAATTCTGAATTCAATCTTGAACTGAGCCAAAAAGGATTTCTGTCCTACAACAATGCCATTATCGAAACGAACTCGCTTGAAACAAACAGACTTCACTAATGTCCGAGTCAAATATACAATGCCATTTATTTCGCCAGGAGTAAAAAATATCCACTTAGGTGGGGTGTGCGATAGACTTACCTCCCCGTGGTGCACCCTGGCAGCGTATACTCACACGGCAAAAAAATCAATTAACCGGCAGTTGACTTCTGGCTTCTAACTACCATCACCCCATTGTATGTCATATTCGACTACTTCCACAGTACTCACCCCACCTTTTTATCCCTTAGTATCTGTCTCTTTTACATCTTTGAAACACTCTTCTGTTGTCCCCCCCCCTTTCTCGAATTTTTTTCCAGTTTGATATTTCTTCTCCTCTGTGAGGCATGAAGTCACCTAAAGAGCTAATGAAACTATCAAAATGCCTGCCATTTGATATAAATAAATAAATATCCACTTAGGTTAACGTGAATAGATTCTTCTCGTCAATTTCGAGAAAAGAATGAAGCGACAATTTTCGATGAAAGTGGAGGAACCATCGAGAGACTCATCAGCTTTTCAGGCAAGAAATTCAATAAGGACTTATTGTGTTCAATTACCAGTTGCTTTGGGTCTTATAAATGGAAAGGTTAGTTGAAATATCGCGTTCGAATGTCATCCTTAATACTGGCACTGAATTTAGTGAGAAACTCTTTAAAATTGTAAGAAGCAGTAGCAATTGACATTCGTACTGATAAGAAAGTGTATACTCTTTTACCTGATTATTTCTTACCAAGCATAGATTATTTACACAAAAAAAAGGATGAATACATATTTTTTTCCGTAACTGCTATTTCCCCGAGGTTGATACCATTTTGGCATAAACGTTAAAACAACAAATTAGTTATAACCGTAAGAATCTAAAATAAGGGCAATGTATGTCGTAAAATATCTAAATTCAATCAATTTATTACTAAGAGGAGACTATACAGTGGTCGAATTTTTTATCGTGAAATCATAAACTGTGTCATACAGAACTTGGAAAAAGGTGATAACAGCAGATAATAAAAGTCATTTTCAAACATTCTAAAATATTCATAATAAAGATTGAAGAAAATCAGACAACCTGTCAACATGACAAATTATGAGGAAATAACTGGAAAAAAAACCACAAAGCTCACCAAATAAAAGTACCATGTCTAAGACTTCCATTGTAGCGTTTGACCGATTTATTACTAATTATAAGCCTTATGGACCATTAACCTCAGTAAATCTAAGTTGAAAGGCGAGCGTATTGACCCCAACACCAGCGAATAAGTGATTTTTTCCTAACGCCCATTTTGAAAAGGATAAATGTATATTCATAGCGGAAAGATACTTCGTGTTTGAAAATCAAAGCAGAACATCAGAAACAAATATGAAAGAAAATTAAGGTTTGATTGTGCAAGACGGGTGAAACACATTTCCGTCATTTCGGAGAGGTAAAGAGAACCAAACCTAGTCAAGAAAAACTGAAACCCAGACATATCAGATTATAAAGCATTAATTGATATTTGTCACGTAAATCAGTAATAAATATACAAAAATCGAAAAATAAACGCGGAATATATGAAAATATAAATACACAAATTCTATAACAGAGATACGTACCTGTTTGAAGCATTCCCAAGCAGCTGGACTACCACCAGTTTTCTCGAGATATTCATTCCATGCAAAGCTGTCGGAGGGATCCATATCTATTGAGCAGAAAATAATATATAATTGATTCATTTGAAGGTGCAAACACATGAACAAGTTGAACCCAAACCAGGTTGGAATTAAGCGAAAAAAACATATTTCATCCAAAAAATATTTGTGCCAACTAAACAACAGACAGCAGCGTGAGAGAGAGTAAACAAATAAAAGGGGTAATTGGTAATGATGGCAGTGCAACCATGCAACTCTTACCTCCCCGAACAAGTGCACTACCGACATCATAAAGACCCATGGTCTCTAGGAATTGGAAGAGTAAAAACATTCACATAACAGAGTAGAATTAGCATCCATTATTTGAAATTTAATCTTAATTACCAATAAAATAAAATTGCGTTGAAAGCAAGAGCAAACGCAATTCATTATATAAATCAAAAAATAATAATTGTGATAAATTGAATCACAGTGCAGCTACGTACAACATTAACAGTAAAAATACCAGTCCTAAATCTTTGTGAACATAACAGAGGATTGATGTTATTTATAATAAATAATACGATCTTAAATAGGCCACCATAATAGAATATTAAAATCAATTAATGATCCAAATACCTACATCTTTAGAGGTACAAATAAAAGCTAATTTCATAGATTGGTGGATTGAAATTTTCGGACAGCCAATCGGGGCAATTGACAAATAGTAAAATAGTTATCTAATGTAGGTTTATGAAATTAGTTTATTTAAACAAATGATGGTAATTTATTGCTCTAATGATAAAATCTATTTGCAATATATAATTAAGTGATGTAATTAAGAGTTTACTTTAAAATCTCTAAAGTAACTAATGCTTCAAACTTATATATCTCGGGAACGTTAAGACTATTCAAGAGATACTTTCATCAGCTGGTCGAAATATCAAAGTCAATTCATTAATATATCTTGAAATACTCCCCCTTTTTAAAAAAATAAGTTTAACTTTACGGTTGCACTGTTTACACTGTTAGCACTGTTTTGAATTTTAAATTTCAACTACTAGTTTTAGGATACAATTTTTATATTTATCTAAAATGAAATCCATTTCTAATGCTTTAATATTTATATCAATGTTTGACTGTTAAGTGAACTGTTTCTTACCTGTCATGCAATGATTGGTAGCTCACTCAGCCACCGATCATTATACGCTTGATTGTTTAACAACCCTTAATCGTATTAATTACTGGCCTGCAACCCAAATAAACGCGTTTCACACAATGCGTCTATTCCCTCTATATTGTTGAGTAAACATTGGCTTTAAGATAAAGGAGGATAAGTCCAGGTTTATTCATGTAGCAATACGACATAGTTTTTACAGTTTCACTTTTATTTTGTCGTTAGAATTAGCTTCAACATTTCTACTCGTCATTAGATACTGACAGTATAATTAATGAATTCAAAATTTTCTCGAAGTCTTGAGGAAAACACTCAATTTATTAACAATTATCATGTACAGGAGCATTGAGGACAGGCTGTTGGTTCTATAGATATCTCGAATTCAACTGACAGCAACCATGAATCTCAACTGGCTTGTTAAGGGGCGCTTCTCATGGTTGTCTTAATTATCCACCATTAATTTGTTACTAAGTTGATATGACTTTCAAGTGATTTAAAAGCCCATGAATGATTTCAACTTATTTTAACAGTACGAATATATTTTTTTCTAGCATTTTTATTTAGGACTTATCCGTTCAAACTGAAAAGACGAAACCTATCTAATTTAATATATGACCGATTTTAATGAAGAAACTTTTCTATTTATTTCAGATTTAGTTATTTTTTCTTAAATTAATTGACAGTTTTGTATATCTCCAAGCGTTCAATTTCTTTAATGTCATTGGTCTTATCATCAGGAGCTTTGACCAAATATCAGTGAGCTCAGTTGATAAAAATTTGTACCACTTTCATGTACACATTTATATTATTCAAATTTAGCGCCTTTCCGCGACAGCCTTAGACGCTAACATTATTTTATAGCGTAAACAATGGTGAAGACGGAGTAAATTATCTTGATTGCTTATATGAATTAAACCAAAATAACGAAAAATACAAACTGGAAAAAGGAACACATAGTTATCAATATGAAATTTTGATCGGGGAAGCAAATAAGTAGTCAAGGAAAAATAATGTTGAATACTGCACTCACTCGACTAACTTAGTTTCTGGAAGTAGTTTTCATTAGATAACAAGTACTCTAGTTGTAATTTGCTTACCTTTGCTCTTTTACTTCTAAAATCCCTGTGGATTCGGATAATGTGATGGCGTTTTCTTCGATTGTCTCTTAATGTTAAGGGTGAATAGATTATAATTGCACAAGATATCGGGTTTTCAATAGTGGAATACGCTATTGCGCCAGCATGCACTCCACACGAAACTTGCAATTATTTTGAAAGCAAGAAATGTGTATAACTCATAGTGGCCGAGTTTGAGAAATTGCGCATTAGTATCACTCGTGTACTTATAGCTTAGTGTTCTTAGCTCTTAATAATAAAATCCATGATTTACGGCTAATACAAATATACTCCAATTAACTTAAATACCCACTGAATAGTTATTATCTCAATTGAAACATAATTTAAGGCCAAATTTTCTTCTTAATTTGTAGACAAGCCTACAATTTGTGCCAACTTTTAGAAGAGCCTGACAGGCGATAAGGCGTGAACTGAGGGGGTGGGGAGGGGGGGGGGGCGGATTGTGTTTTAAAAGGAGCCCTATTCAAGTATAAGTCTAAAGTAAGCATTTTATCCATATTTACTAAAATTGTATAATTCGACGTACAATGTGAATTCAGGTTTGCGTTTGTTTCGGGAGTTAGTAAGTTTACTTTGACGGATGGTCTAGCCATAGCTATCAGTAAGATAACTAGAGTTACTTAATCATTCTCAATTTACACAGCTTGTTAATCGGATTGAAATAGCATTTCAGGAAGGCCATAAGATATTTCACTATGTACGAATGTAAATATTTACGCTCGATAACGTGAAATGAATAATTGACAATGTGGTTCAGCGGTTAGTGTAATTTATTACAATCCGCTTAATGAAGGTGGGTAAAAAAAATAAAAAGATCGATTTTAAGGTCATTCAAACGTGTGCTGAAGGGTGACAAAAAGTTGAGTATGGATCACGACATGCATCGCAGAAAAACACACGAGAAAGTCATATTCAACATTAACGTCTAAGTTATATGCAAATGACACTCTGACAAACCCCAAGTATATCATACAGAAATCATACTGATTAACTCCTGCTTATTCAACAGATTGTTGTTGCTGTTGTTTTTGCCAATACCAATCTTGTCATATTTGAGTAGAAATGAAGACTATGCCCTCCAAATCTACCTCAAATTGACGTAACCGCTGTAATAACATTGAGCTAGTTTTCCGAAAGCGTGCCACTATTAAATATCCGTCAACCCTTCAAATGAAGTAGAATAGCAGAAGGTGGACTAGATTTTTCTATCAACCATAGCTCCTTTCCAAATTCCCTTGATGCAACTTTAAGAAGCCCCAAATAGTCTAAATAATCGGTGTTTTGTTAGCTGTAAAGGTATTTTTCCACCAGTTCATTTTTTCAGAGATTCGTGGCATTAATTACTTTAGAAGGGTCTCACTTGGCCGGCTTCTACTAGAATATCGAAAAACTTGAAGGAATGACGCCTAATGGAGGCCATTTTTTCTAATCGCATTTCACATTCCCTGTTTACTGTTATCTTCTTCATGTGAAAGTTATAAGAGGTTTTTTTGTCCTTTTGACTAAAAGCCATCTCCCCATTTGCTAACCTTCTCATATGAGAATACTTATTCCAATGACCAAAATTCTACCCGAAGTTCCGAAAAATTATCGTTTTTTATGATTATAAACTAACGCGCCAATAAATCCCACCAGCACAAATCGTATTAAGGGTTATCAGTGCTAAAAGCTTCCACTGTTATAACTATTTGAAGGAACTCGTTGCATCATAAGCAACCGAGCTAAGACGTCATCGATAACTTCAGAATTTCAGTTTTGATTCAATAAAAATTTTCCAAATAAGTAGATTCTAATTGAATTATGTCATGTTGAAAAGGTGCCTATGGGCTGTAAGTAGAAAGGCGAAATCCACTTTCTAAAAATTTGCAAATTGGACCCGAGTTGTTAGGTCCACTGTTCGTGCAAAATCCATACTTACCAACCCACACCTTGCCCTTAAGTAGAATTTCAATATTTCTTTTCACACGAAAGAGTTGTATATGAATCACAACTCTCCATCCAGAGCTATCTCCTTAGCACAACTTTGCATAAAGCAGGCATAAATCTCTTTCAGTTGAGATAGTTGCTTTTGGGAAACTAGTCCGTGCATTTTTACCTGAACACAAATCAATTTTCTTGTCTCTTTTCTTTCTAGTAGCATCGCAGTCAAGAGGATTTGAAAAGGTTTCAACTTAAGTTCTTTTCTCTGTCATGATTTGGTGCTTCCCAAGGTATAACCTTCTCCTGATTAGTCCTCACTCTCAAAACTATTTCCGATTTAATAGCAAGTATTACAAAGTCATTGGGAATTATGGTGTTCCTGGGCATTAATTGGTGACTTAATACTTATTGACGATGTCTTGACTTAGAAATTGTGGCATTACTAACCCATGATTTTCCCATTGGACAAGTCCATTGCGCGTAACCATCAAAACGTTCCAAACCACAACGTTGTTAGATCACTAGGGAGGTTTCCTTCCGTTTCAATGGTGTTGTAGAATATCTACCATGGAAGTACACACTATCGTAAATGACCATTATTTAATCTGCCAAAATCCCTTTTAAAATGGTGCACATGAACACAAGCCACGACCACAATTCCACTCATTTGTGTTTATCATTTATTCCATATACATGCTGATGTTATGGCTCATTAAATGCAAACAATCGCCTTCACCAAGACCCACGTTGTTTAACTTATACAAACACTTAACTCTTCCATCTCAATTATACTGTGAGTGTTAGGTTTAGCCTGAGACAATTGGCTGAAAGTTTGGCAAGGGCACAGGAACCGTTGACCTTCTGACGAGGTCTAACTGCTCGTCTGAATTCATTTTTAACGGTGAGCTCATAAAGATGAAACAAAATTCTCATTTAGAATATCATTTCAGACATTCAAGCGATTTACACGAGAAAGCACGCTTTCAAGTTCCAATCTGACAGTGACCTTGTAGCAAAGCGCACTTTAACTTTTAAAACAGGATAAATTCTCAAACCAGTGATTGAGTAACTCAGTGTGTCAAGTGCACAACTCTAGTGTAAGTGCATGACAGTGACCATTGGCGCATTCATTACTCTTAAGTTCTAATGATACCATTGTCTTACATTAATTTCCCCTCCGATTAGAGAATTAATCAGCTTTAGTGATTTGATCGTATGTAACCAACTGGTTCGATGGTTTTGGGTGAAAAAAGCGCCATTGCGATTCTACTCTTCTTCCACTCTCTCTGTTAGTTTGCCCTTGTTAGTTTATGGAATTCTTTTGTATTACTGATGTCAATTTACAAAGTGAAATTAGGTTATCTTCTTATTCGAGTCAACACTTTGCAAAAGTTGGGTGTGAGATAGACTTACGTCCACGTGGTGCACCCTGGTCGACGTATACTCATACGGCAAAAAAGTCTATTTTTCTCAGTTGACTTCTGGCTTCTAACTACCATCACCCCACTGTAGACTAATTTTACCTTACTCTCTATCACTGTGCCTGTCTCTTTTACATCTGCAAATCACTCTTCGGTCCACCCTCTTGAACTTTGATGTTTCTCGCCTCTGTGAAGTTCGAAGTCAGCTAAGGGCTAATGATTCAACCAATAATTCCTTTAGACTTTTGGGTGTGGGATAAATGAATGACAGGCTGGATTCTTCCATGTTGGCCTCGCACATGGAAGCCAGAACACCAGAAGTTCAAAACCCCCGAGTGCAGAGCATGGGGGCTGAGATAACAGATCGAGCACATCCATCAATGTTCTATTTGGATTCCTAATTGCTTGGTTTATCCGTTTGGTTTGATGAGCATGTTTAGGAAATAGATTGGTTGACGGATTAAGTTCTTATTTACACTTAATAAATGGAAAAAGGTTATTAAAAGTGAGTGATTTGTTTCTACAAAAAGAGTGCTCAATTTGCTGGAATTATCACATAGGCCCTGGGTATCACTTAACTTGAACTATATAGGAGCGTTTTTTATATATCGCAAATCAGTCTTGATGGCTATTAAAAAATTCACACGAAATTGTAATCAATCAAAACGAGAAGTTGAATTAATTTGTAAGAAAGTAGACGACTGAAACTCCTGAAATTCAAAAGAGCTGGCAGTGGTACTACTCTCATCCTAGTGCATAGAGATAGGTAGAGAGATAGATCGCCATTCTTGGATCCCATGTTTGAAAATCCGCAACTTTTATATAAAGCGGTCAAACAAAGGTTACCTAGACGCCATCAACTCCCAACTATCAACCGCTAAGTTGACAGCACAATCTCACAGTCATTTGGAAATAGTAAAGTGCGCAATTGTCTCTGGGCCGTCACAGCACAGTTCAAATATTCCAGCTTAGGTCAATAAAAAGTGCCTGAGTGACTATCTTTCAGTTTTAACTGTCCTCGTCTCTAGCATTCTTGCAATATCTTGTAGGCTTTTCTTATCTTTTCAACAATTACAGATGAGATTCACAAATTTCTTATTTAGTCAAATTGGCTGATCACTCATTTGAGAAAGCTGAGTGAGATAAATGGTACATGATCTTAAATGCCACCCATTGATTAAACACTGCTCTTACCTATTTTACCTCTCAAAATGGCCACAAATCCCAAAACTCAGTGAAATGCCACCCGAATGCCTTAAAGTGTGGAGGGTAGCGACACTGCAATTCAGCACAATTTATCATTTGTCTGCTTATCCTATACAATAGTCAACAACAAATTGTTCATTTCATTTTCATTGGATAGGGATTACTTAGTTAATCCAACAAATACATTGCATCAAACACTATACGCTATATACATTCAATGGTATACGAAGTGAGCTGTTTGGATTTCAATCGTTATTACTTTCTCTTCCTGTAACGTGAAATGGTTCACCATATCAAACCACATGACCCATACTGAGTAGTCCCATTGAGAGTCACCTGACGTTCAGCAAACACCGTATTAAAACATCCATTTCATTGGCTCAATCCTCTGATTTTGAGTCTTCACATTTTCATGACTCCTCCTCATCAATTAACAACACAGGCTTTTTAAAACTAATCACTACAAGATATATCTAACCAATGGTCGAGTCATAGACAACCGTAACACATATGATTCTCTCACTCGCGCACATAAGCAGACCCGCTTAAAAAATCACTCACAAATTTAATTCGCCTCCCCAAACTGATTGGTTGCGCTAATGATGTGGGTGTTAGTTTCTAAAGGTCATTTGAAGCACAACGGTTGTAACACCTCTCCATAAATACCATTTCTCACAGTCGTCGAGCGTTGCCTACCCGACGTTCGATTTCCCAACCATGACTCATGACAATGTTCATTTACAAAATCCGGTGACAAATCAACCTGGTTTTCCTACTGCACCGCCAGCTTCAGGTTGTTGTTCTCGATGTTGGCAAGCGATATTTAATTGTTCCAAATCAACTCCGCCACCTGTTCAAAGAGAAATGAGAGACTTGGATTCACAGCTAGAGGGAATAGACCCCCCGGTTCAATATCCACCCGTGGGTTCTGGATTCCCCGCCCAGTTGGACGAAAATCTGGATGACGGCTATGAAAATTCCCCAAGCGAGGCAGCGGAGGATGTGTTTATTAAAGGACTTTCCAAAAACGACTCTTAGGTCTGCAATCACTGGTAATCTTCAGAAGACTAAAAGTTGATATGACGTTTGTTTAAATTGTATAAATTGTTTAATATTTTGATTTCTTGTTGCTGACAATCAAATCACCATCACCATTTTAGAAAATGTATTGCATAAATATTTGTTATGGACTCTTCTACTTATTTTATTTTTGGGAAAGGTATTTTAGTAAGCAGTCACAATGCGTTCATGTAAAAGGACAATGAATACTCTTTCAACTTGCTCATGTCTCTTCCATAAGTTAGAGTTTCTTATTGTTACCTCCATTGTACAATTGAAAATTTTGATGGTAAAGGAATTCTTTTGCTTCATAAAATATTTCTATTTTATTGGATAACAGATGCCTTCAATACGGGTAATACGATTACCTTATTTAACAGGAAACGTGTTATTTTGGCTGAGGACAATCGATTTCGTTTTGGAATCGATAAAATCAAATAGACACTTCATTCTTAATGAAATCAAGCCCACTTGGGTTTATTTGAGAAGTACAATAAATTGAAACAGTCAACTCCAGTTTCAATATGCACCTTAAAATTTAACATTATTTGATACTAACTGGCAATAAAAAGATCATCCACATTCTGTATATAAATCCATTGTCGCCTAATTCATTGGTATTCTCCCACAATTAACTAGAACAATAAGCTCTTTTAATTAAAACTATGTGTCTTATTCTCCACCAAGTACGGCAATAAATTATCCTCGAATAAACCGTCAAATGTGCAACCAACCAATAGCAACCCTGGTTCTCATACATGTTTTAACAAAGACTAACTAACTCCTTTCAATGCGAAAAAATCAATAACGATCACATTCGGTGTTCGTTTCACTGCATCTCAAATCCAAATTCTCTGGTTGAGTGAATTCATTCTCTCCTCCATCATAATTCCTGCACATTCATTTTTTACGGTTGGATTCCAACATCTCATCTAGTAAACTGATTAATATCTATTATCGTGTAAAAATGGTTACTTTAGCCCAACTTTTGCAAGTAAACATGGCAGGACTTTTCAATTTGTGTGAGGATTAATTGTCATATATTTACATTACATGTATCAAATGTCGAAATCAAATACCTTATTATCATACTCTTTTGTTGTATTAATATTTTAATCAAAAGTGAAAACTTTTTTAATTGTCTCCTTATCGTGCTATTTCACCGTAAAATATTTGTAGACTTTTATTGACACCAATTTCACTTACCTGAAACCAACGACCTTGAAGTTATTGGAGCACATCTGTTGTGACTCATGAATTGACTTGTTTCACTCACCTCAAATAAAAAAAACGTTAATTTAAGAAACCGGCTTGGAAACTGTATGAATTAGGCCTTTGGATTATAATTCAACAATTGTCTTTCACCTCACGAGATGCCGCAAATTTGAGGAAATGGAAAACTATTAAATACGTCTATGTGAATGTTTGTGGCTATGTCGTGGCTGTTTGATAGTCACTTAACGCTTGCATTATGCATACACTCATCAACCACTAAAACTGCAAACCAGCTGTTATTATTAATCCCTTACGTTACAATTGAAGATTTAATGTAACTTTTACGAGGAGGGAGGTCATTAAATTGGAGACACGGATAAATACTTCTGCACTCTTTTGTATTTCATACAACTATTGACGTAATAACCCAATAAAATTCACGATCCTGATTTTGATTACATCTCGTCAATTTTTCTAGCCGAAGGGGAAAGAAGAGTTTGCAAACATCCTATCTGATCATTTACATTATTCATCGAACTATATCAACAGACAACAGCTGAATAAATGGAACTTCTATATCATTTTCACTACTCTTCATGAGTACATCAACTTAGAAATGGTCTGCGGTCATCTCGCCTTAATGTCTTATTCCAAGATAGTGAATTGAAGGTTGACAAGTGCGTGGCAAAACCCGTGATCAGCCTTAGTTTTGACGAAGCACCTACAATACTGGCTCCTTCACTTCATTTGCAGTGCCGGAAAATGGGAAACCATTCGGACGAGTCACCATGGCGACAACTGCGTTTAAACTCGTGGTTATAGCAATCTAGCAGACAAATTTACCGCCATTGAGGTAAACGACATTTCGGAAGAATAATACTCTCATTAATTATACCTTAGTCATGCTGTTTTGCAAGTTTACTAATAATAATATTATTATTATCACAGTTAAATTAGAGACACGTCTGTTCACCTTGACATTAACTTTAAGCATTGGAATGCTAATCAGTCTTTAAATACGCCAATTACTTTTAAATCCTTCATAATTATATTTACCTGGCAATTCAGAAACCCACTTTCACCATTTATAGCAGTTATAGTAATAATAAACTTAACTCAATATCACCTTAAACTTATATTGATCGCTTATAATGTCACATGTTTACTCTGAATTAGTCTCTATGCCTAAAGGTAAAACATAGCAGCGATTTTCACTTTTAAAGCATCAACAACTCTCCCAGTGGATCTACCACTTCAATCAACTTGGAATATTTGGGATCACCATGAGTCAGTGGAGTCACGGCACTCAAAAGTAATCAATAATAGCGTAATCATTAATTGCTTACGAATTACAATGATGCTGACGTTGGTAAGATGAATTCGATAATATCATGGAGTTGAGGCTAAGAATTTATCTTAAAAACCAATCTGAAAGAACGATTTTCAATAAATTGTCAGTTAAAAATAGAATATTTTCCTATTTACTTGGACATAATGCCCAGGTTCAATACCCAAATTACGCCTTTGCCAATTAATTAGCTTATTTATTTATATCAAATGGCAGGGTTGATGAAAACCATCATTAGCCCTTTAGTTGACTTCAGGCTCCACAGAGAGGAGGAACACCAAAGAAACAAAAGGGTTGAGAGAGGGTGGGAATAAGTGAGTGTTTCTCAGATAAAAAAGTGATAAACACAAAGGTAGAATGAAGAGGTATGGTGAGTATGGTGGAAGTGGTGGAAGTGGTGGAATATGACAAAGAGTGAGGTCATGGTAGTTTGAAGACAGAAGTCAACTACGTTGTAAATAGATATGTTTGTTATAAGAGTATACGCTGTCCAGGGTGCACCACGTGAAAGAAAGTCTATCTAACAGCCTTTATAGGAATACCGATTATTGAAATTCTCCCTTCAATATGTAATTCGATGTGATTTTTGCAATATTAAAGTCTCGATTATAGCTGAATTTATAAATCATTTTTACCTGATTCACAGAAAAATATCGAGACGATGTATTGCTAATTGAAATTCTCTCCCCCCTCCTCCACCCAAGGGAATTGTAGCGGATTGCTACGCTAGTAAAGCCTGACTGACTCACAAATCTCTATGGCAGATTACTTAACATCTAGCTAGACTCCCAGATAAATCTAGCATAATTCGAGGGAACATTAATGGCTAAATATCTCTGAGAAGTGTTCTTTAGCAGGATTTCTATTGGCCATTGGCTGTGCTTCTCCGCAACCAATCCGAACGCGAGGTTGCACGGCGCAACTTAAGCCTAGTGTGCGCGCCCGTGATGAAGTGTCCCACAGAATCATATTGCAATTGAGATAATGAGGCAGTATGCTTGTGGTGTTGTGATTTTGTGCTTCTGTCGTAATTTAAACAGCCTAAACACGTGCCTCAAGGGAAAGGAAGAAACGAAATGGGGATCACTCATCTGAATATCTCACTATTTCATTATGCAGTTCAAATTTGAGGAAGAGATCTACCAATTGCAGTAAAAGAGGTTCAGGATGGCTACACGTGAGTTTCCTCTTGTTCACGCTAATTACTTACGTTGATTAAGGCGTTTTGTCGGTAAATTTGGCCGTTTCGTGTGGAAATAGAGATGGTGGTTGAAAAATACCTGGGTTAGTGGATTTGAAATAACTTCGAAATACAATGGAATCGCATTTATATCAGTGAGTTCTATCCAAAATAATAATAGCCACAACCCTACCTGTTCAATTCTTATTGAGTCTTAGCTGTCCCAGTCAAATCAATCAAAGTTGAGCCCACAATTGTCTCTTGAAGTGCTTCATATCCCCAATAAGCTTCGAATACTTAATATGCATTTATTTCAATTTATATTTTTCTAGAAGTGGACATGAATCATATGTAAATAATGACCAAGTTAACTTACTTACATCCATTATCGATCAACAGACTTTTGATGTGATTTGTTCACTGGAGCTAATATTGTTGATGAATCAATTGGCAAATTAAGATCAATTGAATTTTTCGTTTTTAAATCGAAGGACCTTGACAGTACGATTAACCATCCACATCAATGGGTGTGCACCAACAAGTATTGAACTCATGATCTCCGACACGGATACTACGACTACAAGACAATCTATGCATATAACGGTCCGGTATGGCATTCCAGATACTATTTAATTACTAGGCAAAATTTTCTCGATTTACAAAATTTGATTCACCGGTTGCATTCTTACGAAGTCATTGGTTTACTGTTTCTGCAAGTCCAAACTTTCACATTCCAATGTAGGCGGTGGCTCTCATGATGAATGTGCGGGTTTAGAAATGCCAAATTTCTCAAACAATTAATCAGATTTTCTTTCACTTCTTCCATCTGGTTTAAGAGATGTTATAAAATAGGCCTCAAATTTGCGATAACTCATACGTTAAACGAAACTATAAACAAAGCAGTTAACTTCTGACCTCAAACTACCACGACCCCACTCTATAACATGTTCGACCACTTCAACACTACATCACAACTTACCATTTCTCTACCTCTGTGTCTGCCTCTTTACATCTGTAAATCACTCTTCTCTTCCCCCCCC